TATATATATATTTAATCTGAGGTTGGTGGAATTCAAGATGCAGAGTCTGATGGTAATGTTTAGAATAATAAAAACAACCCATGTCAATGGCTGAGCCCTCTCTCGTAGCTACCGCTCTTTGTACTGCGCCGCCATCCTTTAAAATGTAAGTCATTGTCCTGATTTTGTAAGAGAGGAAAAGAGATCCAGAGAGGGCAACTTCCAAAATGATACAGCTGCCGAGTGACAGACCCAGGACTCATTCATCCCCTGAGCCATTGTATCTGCGCGCCTTCTGTGGTGGTCTCTGAGGAGACAGCTGTCCGCAGACACACGTGCGAGCTTCGCTGTCACAGCTGGCTGCAGGGTGGGCAGCAGCGCAGCTGAGGGAAGAAAGTAACTATAGAGCAGCCTCAGCCCTTTTTCTCAAACGCAGAGCCATAGGCAGGCAGGCAGCGACACAGGTGTGGATTCCAAGACCCAAAAATACCAAGCAAAAGGCCTTGTGTCCCCCTGTCTTACTATTCCCACCTCCGAGCCAGCTCTTGGCCCTTTGTCAGCTTTGGCTATTAGTCCTGTCTCAGATCCACCTTTGAATACAGACTGGAGAGGTACAGGTCACTGCAGAAAGGCCGTGGATGTTGAGACTCTCATTCAAATCCTGGCTTCACCCCTTGGGAGCTGAATGCCTGGGTTGGTGACTCCTGGTCTCAGGCTCTCACTGTCCTCACCTGTAGAAGGGGACGGCGATGCTGCCTCCCGTGTTCACTGGGAAGGGTAAGCCAGGTCCCTCTGCGGTGACCTGCCCCAGTGTTTGACACATCACAGGCATTTCATAAGTGTGGATATCTTGCTAGGGATCTGGGGTCTTTTCCTCAAACAAACCTGAAGAATTCAAATTCTAATAGTGACATTTCAGACCCCGTGGGGACACTCATCCCTGCTAGGTCAAGTATTGAAAGAACATTTTGCCTTCTTGTTTCTTCCAATGAAATGACACACAAGGTATCCCACTTTTTGTAGGCACCCACACACCCCAACTCTGTCCTCCGGAATAAGCCCGGAAGCCAGGTTTGTGCCACATGCCCTCACCCAGATGGACAACTCTTCGAAACTGGGCCACTTGGATTCTCTCTCCTGGAATGTGGAGTGAGGGCCGGGAGCCAGCAGGGCAGGCTTGCTGCTCCTGTAACCTTAAAAACTAGGATGCTGAGCGAAGTGCATATTTGTCAGGTCAGGCTTCAAAGGTTTCTAGAACTCTGGGAAGGCCTGGCTGCATGATGTGCAGGACCCAGAGCAAAAGACAACGAAGAGCCCCCTATCAAGGAGGTGACAGCGGAGCATAAACCACGTGGAAGCCCCGAGAAGTGTCAGCCCAGCACAACCTCAGATGTCACACACTCAGAAAGCAGGCCTGGCCCTGACCTCAGGACTGACCACCCTGTGACGCTCATTCAGTCTTTTCACATGGTGGCTTCATGTGGTGTCTGTCACTTGCCACACAGAACCCTAACACCCTCTCTCTAACTTCAGGCATGGGCATCAGTGCAAACCAAAGCCTGGGCAGCCTCAGCGCCTCTGCACACACCTGTCAGTGTCATCCACAGGGACCCCTTTGCCCCCGAGCCCACAGTAGCAGCCATATCCATAATAGGAGAAGAAGGCGCTCCGCCCTGTGATGTGCTTGACCATCCTCTGGAACTGCCAGAAGCTGCCGAGGGTGGGGGCCGTCCCTGTCAGTGAAACACAAGGAGCAAGAGAAGTGGCAGTGAGCGTGGTGCTGTCTGCAGAGCCCTCACCAGAGTGCTTTGTGCTGAGGTCATCGTCAGAGCCAGGAAACACAGGCCTGGCCTGGCTGAGTTATCTAACAGTTCCCTTCAAGAGAAAGAACATGGGGCTAAATTTATTCATAACACAGAGTCTCTCACAAGCCCAGGACAGGCACCCAGTTTCCCTGACACTTGGGACAACGGCCTACTGTCTTCCAGGGTCTTCCCCTTAAAGGCAGAAAACCACTATTCTAGGCAGAAAGGGCCTCAGATCTGATGCAGCACGAAGGGAGCAAGCTCACAGCTGGAAAATCCAGTCCCTGCACATATTACAGCATTTACACCTCACGGTAGAAACAAAACACACAAGAGGAAGACACCTTGGATCCAGCTTTTAAAATGGCAAATTCATGTGGGCCAAACAAATTTTACTTCTTCAAATCACTTACAAAAGTGGCCATCAGTATATGTAAAAGGCATTGTTTGTGACAGCAGAATATTGGAAACCACCCCCACATCCTCCAGTTGGGGATAAGAACACTACCTTTAACAGCAGAATCTGTGGGAGATGGGATTGGAGAGGGAGGTAGAGAAACAGACAACATACTTTGTATGCGCCTATGTTGAGGTTTTTAATGATGAGTGTACATTAACTTCTGTATTACAAAGGTGTGTGTGTGGGACTGGGGAGATGGCTCAGTGGAATAAGTGCTTCCCTGGCAAGCGCAAGGGCCTGAGTTCAATCCCTGGTTCTGCAAAAAATAAATAAATAAATAAATAAATAAATAAATAAATAAATAAATAAAATCTAAGTTTAGGGCTGGCAAGGTAGCTCAGTGGTCTAAAAAGCCTGCTTAGTCAAGCCCATAGATCACATTTCAATTCCTGGCACCACATGTAGCGTTACCAGGGCTGGCGCCACACACACACACACACACACACACACACAAAAAAAAAAAAACAGGACAAAGGTGTGTGTGTGTGTGTGTGTGTGTGCGTGTGTGTGTGTGAAGGCCTACAGGAATGTACACCAAACTCTTAAGAGTGGCCATACTTGGGAGTAGAAAAGGACCGGGCTCTAGGAGGAAAAGGATGGGCTGTACCTTGCACTACATTCTCATTTATTTGGATTTCTAATTACAATGGTGATAAAGTAAAGACGGGAGCTGGAAGAACAGCAATGAAGATGGAGTCTAGGCACCTACCTGGCTGTCTCATTGCTGTGTTAGACATCTTGTTGTCACAAGTGCTGCTGGAAAGAGGGGGTTCTGAGGAGAAAGTGGGGCCACTTCGTGGGGGCTACAGAAGTGGCCCTTATTGCCCCATGACCTTGAGAACTATAAATCCCACCGCTGACTAAGGGAAAGACAGAAACCTGGTTTGGACATGTTATTTGGGGAGCAGAAGGTTACTGCTACACAGCTGCAACAGACAGGAGAAAAATGGATTTGAAAAGAAAAAAGAAAAAAAAAATGGATTTGGACAAGTTCCTAACTAATGCAGCAACAGTCTGTGAGCTTTCCGACAGACCCCAACAGAGACCCCAGGAAGCCCTCGCTCACTTTGCAGAGGTGAGTGTCTGCTCTCTGGGTACACTGACTGAGAATGATCAGTGACCCCATACGTCACTGTAACCGTGTCTTTCTTAAGAATAAATTATTCGGGGGCTGGCGAGATAGCTCAGCAGACTAAGTGCCCGCTTAGGCAAGTGCAGAGACTGGGGTTCGATCCCCAGCACCACATGCTGTGCCAGACCCACCCCCAGGCATGCTGAGCCGGCCACGGAGACCAGGTGTGGTGGCACACGCCTATAATCCCAGCACTGGGGAGGCTGCAAACAGGAGGATCACTACAAGTCTGAGCTGCGTAGTGAGACCCTATACCAAATATATAAAACAAAAAAATAATTATTCAGATAACAATTAATCATTGCAGATCCACACCTGCAGTTTTAGGCTAGAATCCACAAGACTTTAGATGAAGTCAACCGGCTAGCACCCAAGGCACAAAGCAGCTGGGAGCAGTACACCATACCTCAAGTCCTCTTCTTAGGACGGCATTGGAAACCTTCTATTTCTTAGCAATTCCTAGGATCTGAGAGCAGAGACAGAAGCAAGAGAACTTGAGAGGGAGCTTGCTCCACTCCTGCTTGCTTTCTGAGTGACTTCCCTCTCTTGATGCCACCTCAGGAGGGGCCACCCCGCTGTTGCAGACAGAAAGACAGCATCCTGGCCCCCTCCCAGCTGGCCTACTACTTACAGCAGGAGTTGAAGACAATAAGAATGGCAATGACCTTCATCTCAAGAGAGACTGGGGGTCCTGGGCACCAGGGACCTGCCTTGATCTACAGCTGACCTTCTGTTTAAGGAGGAAGTGACCAAAATGGGACAAGGCCATTTGGACACAAAACCCCCTCTGTGGCTCAGGTCTTTGAAAGCCTTCAGTGGAAGGCTCAGAGAACCCTTCTTCCAAGCTAATTATCTCTGAACATGATACCATTCTTGCCATTTAGACCTGAGTAGAAAAAAATAAGAAGGGCTCCATTGTTTAAGAAGAGCAAATGTTACAGGGTTTCTTTTTTTTTTTTTTTTTTTTGGCAACACTATCACTTTGACTATTTTTCCCCCTTGGGAGGAGTCAGGAGTCTCTCTGTTCCCATGTTCAAATACGACACATACTCCTCCGGAAAACCTGGCTTTCCTTGCTTTACCACTTGATGTTTTCCTTCTTCCTTACCCTGATATTTTAGTAAAAACAAACAAACAAACAAAAAACAACCCTCTCCAAAGTTCAGTTTCCTCTCCTATAAAGTGAGACTGAAAAAATCTCCATCAGGGATGTCAAAGTTTTATTAAGAAGCCTAAGGCCTTCACAGCTATTGCCACGCTCAATCCTCCTAACCATTTCTGAGCTCCATTACCACCTTAGAGAGGGGTAAGGGAGGCGCAGAGAACCTGAGCGAGGTCCTCACAGCCAGGAAGCTTTCTCTGTCCCAGGCTTGTGGTGGGGACAAGACCAAATCATGAGAATGAAACTGTTTTGCACCTGAAACTGCAGTAACAGGTAAGCACAGCATTGTCATGCCTATTAGCAGGGGTGACGCTGCCCTGTTTGGAGCACACTGCCCAAGGGACGGACGGCACAGTTGCACAAGGTCAGCTGTAGACCAAGACAGGACCCTGGTGCTCAGGACCCCCAGTCTCCCCTGAAATGAAGGTCCTTGCCATTCTTATTGTCTTCAACTCCTGCTGTAAGTAGTAAGCCAGTTGGGAGGGGACCAGGATGCTATCTTTCTGTCTGCAACACCAGGGTGGCCCCTCCTGAGGTGGCATCAAGAGAGGGAAGTCACTCAGAAAGCAAGCAGGAGTGGAGCAAGCTTCAGCCCCTGCTGCGGAGCTGTCACATGATCGGGCCACGGCTTCCTCTCTCTCTCTCTCTCTCTCTCTCTCTCTCTCTCTCTCTCTCTCTCTCT